ATCCTTGCTGTCTGTCCTTTGTGAAGTACAATTTTCACAGGCCTTGTGTTTATCTCTCTAAAAATATTTAACTTGCAGGTATAAAAATTCAGACTTTTGAAGTAAATTTAATTAATGATGGACCGATAACATCATGCAGGTAAATTAAAGAATCCAAAACTCTATTTCAGACAGAGCTGTGCACTGAAAACCAAAATGGTGCCACTTGCATTCAGTAACAACACTAAAAGGAAACAGCTAACAAAGCATTGCAAAACTGGCATTGTAATAATGTGTGTAATATGTATTTTTTTTCCATGTGCATCAACACCATACATTAACAGTTCACGCATATGTTAATTTAGCTGAAAACCTTATGTGCATACTAATTTTGGCAGCAGTATGCTACATACATTTTAACTTCAGAAAACCCCACCAAATAGGCCCTTTTGAACTCCCTTTATAATTGATTAACCACGGAAATTGTGAATTAATATGTTAAATGTAAATATTTTACTGTTTTTGTGGTATTTTTTCTAAATTTTACAAACAGATTTAACAAACAGCACAAAGGTAGCCCCTTAAAATGTGAACATAATAAAAAGGATTATTATATGACCATTTATTTAAGCCTAGAAGTTGAGCAATAAATGTATGCAATGTTTTCCTAAAGGGGTGGTTCACTACCATATCATATTTTAAACGTTATTTGATGTGTAATGTAACTGTGTGAACATAAACAACATCTGTGAATGTAAGACGCTCAAAGTTCAATGCAATGGGAGACATTGGTTTTTACAAAGTTAACTTAACAAAGCCTACAGCAAACAAAATTTGGGAACTACACAAAATACACCTGGGCTAGTGAGATCAAAAAACTTCAGATTATGCAGATTCACCAGGCTTATATACCCTGCTCAGCGAAGTGGCTCGGCCAGAGGCAAGCTAATGTTATAGTAGAGAAAGCTAAACTGCTGTCCAAACTCTGCTTTTTCCACAGAGTTTAATCTGTTTCTGTATTTGGGGTTCCACAGGTGCTTACAATTTTATTTTAATTCTGTTCCAGAGAATTATAAAAAATATATAGCTAGCATTTGATAAAGGACAGCTTCCACAATCCCTCCCAGTTCAGTGCTGGATTCGGCTAAAAACTCAGGAGCAGCTCCAACCATAAAAGCAGAAGCTGTGGATTGTGTGCCACAACCTGTAAGTATCTTTGTTTGTTGAAAAGTATCTATTACATGCATAGTTTCTAGCATTTACAGTATGTTGAAGCAAGGACATAAACACGGATGTAAACAACAGGAAATGCTGTTTGGCACCGTTAAAAATGTTGATACAAATTCATTTGTATCCGTCAAACCCCTGTAAACACCCACAATCTTCAGCAGCTAATGCGGTGTCTCTCTATGCAGCCTCTTTCCTTCTCTCTACATCTCAAATAACGAACTCACAAAAAATATGTGATGGTTTCATATTACTTACACATGCTTATAACCCAAACTTGTCAGATTTTATCTTAAAGAACGGGCGTGAGGTTCAGCTGTGTCCTTTTCATTTTCTGTCTGATTCAGGCTCAAACTGAAACGACTAACAGCTAAACTGATTGACAATATTACAGAGAAAAGGGCACAGCACGTGCTTTTAGAGGCGTGACATTTTTACTGGTGAGATGGAGCCAATCACAGCACATTATGTTGGACTGATGACCAATCAGAGCCTCTTGAGGGCAGGCCTTTTGGAGGAACTAGGAAAAAAAGTTGTTTTCATTTTAGCTGAGTATATTAAAAGTACATTTTAGCAGTATATTATCAAAGTTAGATATATAAAAAATAATGTTTTTTTTTTTTTTTTTTACAAATGAAGCATGAGCACACATTGCTTCGCATCTTATAAACAAAAGCAAGCCTTAAAAATACACTCTGGAGCAGCCCTTTAAGAAAAATGCTTGTCAAGTAATTTTTGGAATCTTTCCAAAGAAAAAAAAAAACTAAAAAAAACTGTGCAATGAAAGTACTTCAAAGCAACAAAACAAATTTAACTCCAACCCCAAAAAAGTGCATGTTGCAAAAACAAAAAGAAGAAAAATCAATACATCAATTTAAGTCAGCTTCTAAAATATCGGTAGACCTGTACTTTTGAGCACAAGCAGTTTTCAATATTGGCACAGACTGCAGTCCTAGAGTGAAATGGGAGGGCAAGCTCGATTTTTCAAAACTCAACCACTGTATATCACAAAACCAGCCCTGTTTCACCCAACAAGGGCAGCCTCTGCCATCATTATAACTCTCTTGAGCCTTCAGGGGAAGTGTTTGATGACACTGAGGGTCAAGGGTAAAGAAGAAAAATTGAGTCATGAGGGAATTTGACTGGTTAAAATGAACATGATGTAAGCTTTATCTAATTCTCCAGGGTGAATACTGTCCATGTGTGTGAAAAACAGACAGGGCAGCTTTACACAGACACTATAGACACGGCCTGGTACTCTGGTCCTTGTTTCAGTCTGTGGGGATTAAGCAGAAAAGGACATTATAGAAAGCACTAATGCAACACAGCAAACAAAGAGTGCATGCACAGAAATAGGGTCTTCAAGTTCACACTTGACTAAGCCAAACTGTATGTCTCTTTGATGTTAATCTACTTAACATGGAAAAGACAATGAGAATCTATTTCCATTTATAAGTATGCCCTGGAGCACAAGCGCCTCACTTGGCCACACCAGCAGAGGGGATGTGGCAACATTAGAAACAACTGTATCTTCATCCACTTTCCCAAAGGCCCAAATGATGCCACATCCATCTGTCATCTTGCATCCACTGCACCAATTTATGACCCCACACACAGTATATGTGTGTGCTAGAATCCTTTAAATTCCCTGTACATCCCCTCTCTCTCTCTCCTTCTCTCACTGTATTTTAGCAGAAAACAACAAGCCAGTCGCTACTGCTCTTCTCATTACGCACACAGAGGAACAAAACTCTCACGCAGACCAACAAACACAATAATGATTTTAGTTTAAACCTCTCCGCAGGTTAAGAGCTTGATTATAGAGCTTTGGCTGTCAAAAGCCATTTTGGCTTGCAAAAATGGTAAACACAGCAATTTGGCCTTTCTTGTTGATTTGATTCCAGCTTGCTACATGGAGTAGAAGAAAAGTAGAAAGAAGGAAAAGGCACTGTTTATCCACTGACGATGTGGAGGTAGATGTTTGTACACTAATTCAAAGCTTTTGGTTCCTGTGTTGGACCAACAAATACATCTGAGTAAGGGACAATGCACAATCAGCCAGGCATTGCAGCACAATGAATTCTGACAGGTTTGGCTCATGCGATGTGTACGGCTGACTGTGTGACTCACTGCAGGTTTGATTGGACTGCAAGGCGAACCATTCAAAAATTAAATTGGAAATATGAAATGAGTTAGCACACAGAACTGCAGTTTGAAATTCAGAAGAAAAACACAATTAATTGAATTCAGTCATATTGTTTTGAAAGTCCTTTTCAGATATTCTGTTACATTTGTTCTATTACAGTACTTCTTCATCTTAGTTCTTAGTTTTTAAGTGGATATAAGGAATATTCTATTGAGTTTGAAGACTGTATTAGTAAATTATTAGTAGGCTATCATTGTCAGGGTTAAAGAATAAGTTGACATGTAAGCAGTCCTAAAGTCAATAGAATTTCTGTTTGGAGTCCATCATAAAATTCTTTGAAGATATACACCAGTTATTAAGTGTAGCAAAGAGGCGGGGCCAGAGGTGCTGTGATGTTATAGAAGAGAAAGCTAAAATCTAAATCTAAATCTCGTCTAAACGCTGCTATTTCCACAGAGCTTAATCTGTTTCTGTATTTGGGTTTCCAAAGGACACGGCACAAAAACAGAAGTGCTTACAATTTAATTTTAATTCTGTTAAAGAGAATCCTAAAACAATATAGCTAGCATTTGATAAAGTGCAGCTTACAGAATCTCTCCCAGTTCAGTGTTGGATTTGACTAAAAACTCAAAGAAGAAGCAGCTCCAATCATAATAGACGAAGCTGTGGATTGTGAGCCACAACCTGTAAGTATTTCTTATTGTTTAAAATCGATATATTACATGCATAGTTTCTAGTGTTAACTGTATGTTGTAGCAAGGATGTAAACACTGGTAAATGTGTTTAGCAATGTTAACAATTTAGCTAAGGCAAGGCAAGGCAAGGCAAGGCAAGTTTATTTATATAGCACATTTCATACACAATGGCAATTCAAAGTGCTTTACATAAACAAGAATAAAAGAAACAAGTAAAATAAAAATAAAAACAAATAATAAAAATGCATAAAAACAAAACAAAACATAAAAACAGGTAAAATGTGATATAAAAATTCTACTACAAATTCAAATTCATACGTGAAAGACACTTCAGATTTTATTTTATAGAGCAGGCGTGAGGTTCACTGCGTCCGATGTCATTTTCTGTTTGATTCAGTCACAAACTGATACGGTTAACAGCTACTCTGACTGACAGTATTTATATATCTCATGATTATAGGGGTGTGATGATTTTCCTGGTTACATGGAGTCGATCCGGAAATCACAGCACACTATGTTAGCTGACCAATCAGAGCCTTTTGAGGGCGAGCCTTTCAGAGGAACTAGGAAATATGATGGTTGTTTTCATGTTAGCTAAGTAGCTGTAAATAAGTAAAGGAAAATATATGAAAAATACTGTGATTTTTTACAACTAAATTATGAGCACACATTGCTTTGCATCCTATATTGTAAACACAACCAAGCCTTAAAAATACAGTCTGGACCCCCCCTTTAAACAACCAGATGCCTTTACACATGTTCTTTTGCATTTGAAATGACTGATTTTCAAGCAAGTATTCAGTGGTTTGATCCACACAGAAAAAGATTCAATTGTTAATTGTCTGTGGTTGAGAGTGTGTACAGGTGTTGGCAGCTTTTTACACTGATAATTTTAAAAATCACAGTTTATGCTCACAGGCTTCATCTGTCACATAAACAAACACTCAACTCACCAAGCCAGTATTCTCCAGTGATTTTGCCAAATCCTTCCCTATAGGAGTCCCACTCCCTGAAGAAGTTCACAGACCCATCTTCTCTCCGCTGAATCACCTGTCACACACACAAAAAAATATTCATAAACAATTAAAAAAAGAAAAAAAACATAAGTGTCTAAATAAAGTGGGTAGTTGTTTGGATTGTTAGTGGATTGCATGACAGCAGATATAATGTTTTTGTTTAAATGCAAAGGGAACATGTTGTGTTCTATTATAGATGTGTGTGCTTTGAATAAGGTAAGCCTACTGTACGATGTTAGCACTCTTCCTCAGTGTAAATCCATGATAAGAGAGAATGATTAAATCAAACTCTCTCGGCAGAGACTGATATGAGACTTGAACAAACAAGATGATGGAAAAGCTCAGCATCCAGATCGCAGGAATAATCATTTAATGAGGTATGATATCTTGATCTAGTCTAGAGTGACTCAAAAAAGCAAGACTTAGAGCTTGTAATCCTTTTGAGTATAGAAACATCCACATTCTGAACAGTGTCATGGAAAAGAATGAGCTCATTTGTGAAAATGCTATGGTTTTGCATATTTACTTTCAGAGTTAAAATCTGAAATAAAAAAGAAGAAATATAACAATGCCTGTACATTTATTTAGTTTAAAAGGCAGCATTTGAACTGGACTTGAAAAGTTTGAACTTAATTAAAAACAACAACTTTAGATTAATATGGCACATTCCTGGGTCTATAGATTTTGCTGAAATAATATTTCTTCCAAACTTGGTCAAATTGTTGATAAAAATGTCAATTAGCATGTAAGGGGGTCCGAGATCAGGTAGTAATCAAGAGCTCCTCCTGGCAAAGGAGGAAAAGGAGGATATGGGCTGCTGAGGGACCGCTTCAAGGGTATTTGTCTGCGGACTGTTAGACAGGAGTGTAAAATGAAGGGGTGTAACTTGTTGTTAGTCAGGGAGCTGTAATCATGCGAGATGTTGGGAAGATGGTTGAAATACTTAACATAGAACATTTTAACCAAATGTTTCCTCCAAATTTATCTACAAACAATTCATTTGATACATTATTGAATCTATTCATTTAGCAACTCCACCATGCAAGTCACAAACTTCTTTACCCGTTTTGTCATGACAGTTTGGCCCCTGTGGTTGTAAATAACAGTACAATGGTGAGCATGTCCATTATGAAAGCTTCTGCAACCTATGGCTGTACATTTAAACTATGATGGTTGGGTTTAGGTGTCACGATCACCAAGGACCTAGGCTTTGCAGATCACTGGAAAACATGCATTATAATTCTGCCACTATAAGAACTACCAACCCCAGATGTCATTGTTTGGCACCTGCACAGATCTCTTGTCATATCACCTGCTCCTCTTGAATTTAGTTCACCTTACAGCGACAAGGTCGCAAGAAGTCCAAAGACATGCGCTATAGGTGAATTGGGTGGCTTATTTTTCCGTAGTATATCTGTGTAAATTTCCCAGTGATGGGTTGCAGCTGGAAGGGCATCCGCTGCGTAAAAAGTTGCTGGATAAGTTGGCGGTTCATTCCACTGTGGCGACCCCGGATTAATAAAGGGACTAAGACGACAAAGAAACGAATGAATGGAATCTGTGTAAATGGAAGTGTATGAGTGTTTTCCAGTGATGGGTTGCAGCTGGAAGGGCATCTGCTGTGTAAAACACATGTTGGCAGTTCATTCCGCTGTGGCGACCAAAGATTTATAATAGAACTAAGCCTAAAAGAAAATGATTAACAAAAAATCTGAAGAGTGCCTGCCTGGGTAACCAGGAATATAAAATTTTGTGAGCCCAGGGATGATGAACCCTATCCGCTAAATTCAACAAAGAATGCTGCCAATACATGCTTATGAACTCTCTCAGGGGTTAACAGTAACACAAAGCACGAAATGCTGAATATTTATTTAAAATGGTGCTCAAGGATAAAACATTGTTTATAGTGCCAACGAATAGTCAAGCAAAATAAGAAGGACAATTAAATTAGAGTTCAAAATCCAACTAAAAGGACACTGAAGACACTGCATATCAACAAAGTGCACTTGTGGACGTGCCCAGAATAAAACAGATCAAATGTGTGTGACAGCCCATAATGAGTCTGTCAAAATCACTGTCACTTGCAAACTTGAGAATTTGATTGTGTGTATGAGACATTTTATGTTTGTTTTCTATGGCGCAGAGGGGCATTCAGTGCAATATGGTAATCAGAAACAACACTCAGGGGTCTGTGTTGGTTCTTCTGCATTATCTGTAATCCCTCAGGGTAAATGGCAGGCTTTCAAAACCGATAATTACTTTAATTTGACTGATGCACAGAGAAAAAGTTTGAAGCCTGTTACCAACCAATTTGCAGCACACTCTGTATTAATTACACATTCTGTCGAGTCTATCAGAGGGATTTTAGTGTCAAATTTGGGTGTAAAACACTATTTTAGAGAACTGGATTGCTCATGACATGACAAAAAGTGAAGTCACCTTGCCATTATATTATTATGTATATTATTAAATTATTAGTAGCATTTATTCATTCATTTTCCTTCGGCTTAGTGCCTTTATTCATCAAGGGTCGCCACAACGAAATGAATTGCCAACTTATGTTTTACACAGCGTATGCCTTTCCGGCAGCAACCCAGTACTGGGAAACATCCATACACACTTATTCACACATTCATTAATGGCAATTTAGTTTATTCAATTCACCAATAGCGCATGTCTTTGGACTGTGGGGGAAACTGTGGCATTCGGAGGAAAACCACATGAACATAGGAAGAACATGCAAACTCTACATAGAAATGCCAAATGACCCAGCAGGGACTCGAACCAGCGATCTTCTTGCTGTGTGGTGACAGTGCTACCCACTGAGCCACCATGTCACCTTATTAGTAGTGTGTATTATGAAATTCACAAAATTATATGATTTAAATTTGAAAACATAATATCCCTAATTTCCCTGACACCTTTTTGCATCTGAAATTTCCATGTGTACTTTTCTACAGTATAGGAATCTAATTTCTGAAAACAAATCCATCTACAGTACATTTGACCAGATGAATGTGTCTCCGACTCGCTGCTAAACAGATATGATTTCAATCTTCAAATTTTGCATTATATGCAAATTTGTTTAGTAAACTAAACCGTCAAATACACCTCACTTTATTTGATGAATATTGTTATATTAATATTGAATAGTGTTATTTATATAAACATAAACCATATATCTAAGTTGACATTCAAATTATTTTATATGCAGGCTGAAATATGTAGGCTTTGTATGCATCATTGGAAGCGTGCAAAGATTACACAGAGATTACTTTCATTACAGGCTAAATGAATTTTTTGTTGAACAGATACATCCAATACATCATTCAAAAAGGTTTTAGATGAATTTAAACATATTCTCTCAAAAATAAAACAATGTACCTTTGTAAATCAACCCAGCACTACATTCTTCTATTATTATTCAATACTTTTCACAGAGAAACACAAGCTTGGTGCATCTCTGTTTTGAGTGCTGCAAACTGCTATTAATTTAACAATTTTCAACAAAAAATTATAACATATTATATATATATATATATATATATATATATATATATATATATATAATTTTAAAGGCTTAACTAGGTTAATTAAGTTAACTAGGCATGTAAGGGTAATTAGGCAATTTATTGTATAACAATGGTTTGTTCTGTAAACTTTAAATATATATATATATATATATATATATATATATATATTTATATATATATATATATATATATATATATATATATATATATATATATTATAAAGAAGCTTATAATTTTGAGCTTAAAACGGTTTATAAAAAAAAAGAAAAAACTGCTTTTATTCTACCCAACATAAAACAAATAAGACTTTCTCCAGAAGAAAAACAAAAACATTATCAGACATAGTGTGAAATTTTTTTTGCTCTGTTAAACATTTGGAAAATATTTAAAAAAAAAATAAAAAATAAATGGGGGCTAATAATTCTGACTTCAACTGTAGTTGTTTATAGAAAAAATTATGAATGTACCATAATTGCAGTTGTAAATAGCTCAAATAATGGTTTACAAAAGATGAAATTATAAGCAGCGGGATTATGCTTTCTGCTGAAATTCTACGTATAAGGAATAGGGAACAGGGTTGATCCAGTACAGGATGACAGCCGTCAGTCATTTTAAAGGTTTGTCTCTCTCCCGCCCTGTAGCTGCCCTAGAGGCTCCTGGGAGATCAACCCTGCCTGCACAGAACTAAGGCAGACATTGCTGTCAAGGTTGAAATTACGCATGCATCCACACACACATACAATCATGCTTGGGTGTTATCTTCCCTTTTCTCCACAGATCCAAGTCAGGCAAGGTCAAAGGGGCATTGACCATCACTGTCTAACAATAGTGCCAGTGGAGGCAGAGAGAGGAAGAGAAAGGTAGAGAGACTGGATGAATTAAAAGGTGAAATCTGAATCTGCCGACCCCTTTCTAACTGTCACTGTCACCTCACAGCTGTCAAGAATGAAAGCACATGAACATAAAAGAACAACAGCTTCAATTTCTAATGCAGAGGTTTCCCCATAATATCTGTGGTTAGGTTGTGCTCCTTCTCCACTGAGTGCAGATCTGTTAATTTCAGCCATGATGAATGTAATTTCTAGCATTTTAAACTTGTCTTCATATACTCATATGCAAATGCGAATGCTAATGAACTTGGATGGAATTTTAATAAATGTTTAGCAGTTTATATCCTAAATTCAAACACATTTAAACTTTTAAGCTTAAGAAAAGGATGTAGTTGAAATAAGTTTGAGTTATAAAGAGTTGTAGTTATAAAGTTTTCTAAAGTAACACAGTTACTACATTTATATGGACATTAGTAATCTAATTATTTGCCTTAATATGAATAAGACAATGATATGTTCCCTTCATGATCCCGTTTTACACACATACATACATACAGTACATACAGTAGATCGACTAACATCATTGGGTCACCATGCTATCCAATGTTTCCTCAGGAGTTTCATGTAATTTCAGGTGTTTCATTTAAATTTTTTGACCTTAA